AAGTTGCTTCAGCATCTACAAACTAAATCATAAATATCTGGAAGAATTTAAATAAATAATTTTATTTCAATAAAATTAAATAATGTACATTATCAGTGTTGTGAGGATGGCTCATGGCATCATTTGCAGGTGTTCTGGATTACTATTTTGTGGAATAGCCAAGCTCACATTCTTCTCTGCCGTTCCTCTACAGAGATCAGGGTTATATGTATGAGGAGGAGGAGGCTGATGGTCAGTTTCACAGTCTACCAAGTGTCACGGAAGTTTTGTAACATCATTGTTATGGATTCTGTATAAATCCTCAGATAACATGTCATATTCCAGGCAGTGTTGCTATTTGTAATTGTGCTTTTGTGATACTATCTGTGGTGATTTCATTCAGATGTTTTGCCAATCCATTTGGAACTGCTCCCAGAGCACTTATCACAACTGGAACACCCAGTTGTATCATCATTGTAACCATCATTTTATCTTTTAAATTATTCTTTTTAGCTTGCAAATATATTTTGGCCATTGAAAACATAACATATCACTTTTGAATGTGTGTAAAGTCTACATTAAAAAGTCTAAAGTACACACACACAATTTCATGTGAGTGGTCTCAAGCAAGCCTTGTAGAAAAGAAATGACAAATGATTGGAACCCCTATCAAATTAATGGAACTTGTCTGTAATTTGCAGGTCTTGAAAGAGAAAGGCATTGAAAAGTGAGGTGTCAAAAGGTGGAAGAAGCCTTCATTTAGCTAAATAGCTTCTCTTGCCCCTAAACCCCCAAATCTGATGGAAACATGATTCAACCATGCTACAAAAACCAGCAGAACAGACCTGCTTCTCCTGATGCAGCTGATGCCTGGTAAAATAAGTTGGAGAGTTATGATCATGGAAATAATACCAAAATTGGGATGAAATAGAGCTAGTGAATGTGAAACAGTCCCAGCAACCTGCTTTATTGGGCGCCAGCTGTATGGGGAGGAGGTCCATTCTGCCAGAGATTGGAGCATGGTTGAATCATGTTTCTGTTGGGTTTAGGGATGAGGTGGGCTAGAAGAAGTTACTTATTAAGTACTTGGTTAAGTATAAGCTGCTACTGGATTCCAGCAATTTTTTCCAGGACACAGACTTAACAGAGATCAAGTAAAAGAGGAACGTTAGCACTTAAAACAAAATGATCATAGTGCTTAACTAATATAATACTGCTAAATCAGGTAGAATCACAACAAAAAAGAACTGGATGAAATTCTTTGAAAAGAAATGGAGCTTGATAGCAATTATAGGTTTCCCAACAGCAATTATAGGTTTCCCAACGTAGATGGTAGGAAGAGATGTTCAGACATATTAGAAATGAAAATTGGGATATAAATTATTTGAACAATTGAAAAATATTGAAGATTGAGTAAAATGTTAAGTGTTAAATTAGGAAGTCACATTTATTTAAGGAAAGAACTAGAGAAGGCAAGGGAGGAAGTTAAAGTAATGTGTAGTAAAGTGTAGGGAAGTGTTTGAAGATCTGAACATGTGAGAAAATGGTAGAGAGGATGTCAAGATGGAGGGGAAGAGGTAGAAGGTGGAGACAGGAAGTAAAAGGAAGAATGAGAAGTAAGAGCAAGTGTAGAAGGGGTGTTTGTGTAGATGTAAGAGAGATGATTTGGAAGTGAAGATGAAGAAGGAAGGATCTGATGAAGATAAATTAGTTTAGGAGGGTGTAATCTGGGAAGAATTTTGGGTTAAATGGTATATATTAATCAGTTGAAGATATCAACTACACTTAAATTTGATAATAGGGCAATGCAGATGTTAAGTAACAGATGTAGATTGGATTATGATGTTGGATGTTATATATGAATAGTTAGATGGTGTTGTATGTATGAATGTTTTTATTAGTTTTATATATTTGAAAGTATTGTCAATAAAGACTATTAACCAAAAAAAGAGAGAACTGTTCCCAACAGAAGCTTTATAGTATTATTGAAGGAATATTTAACATGGAATATCAAACTCATACTTGAAGCCCTGTGTCTCATGCCAATGGGAGTGTCCTGTTCTTCACCAAGTCTGTCAGTATGCAAACAGAAACTTGTACTACAGTTAACAAATTTTGTGCTTTTATGACAAGCTTACCTCACATTTCTTTTTATAGCGTTCCAAGTTTCGACTTCTTATGGATTTGCTTTTTCCGCATTGCATTATTGATTTGTGTTGCTGCTGCTATTCTGAGTCTGTTCTTTTCAGCTAGGCTTTTGTTCTCACCACATGTTATTATGTTTTCTATATTATTAACATTTCTAATTCATATTTTAACAAATGTATATATGATTTGTATACACACACACAACATATTGCATCCCACAAATACAGCGCTGCTTTTGCACACATCCATAGAACCTAACTTAACACATTATCATTCATGGTTCCACTAGGTCTCAGCCCTTGCTTTTACAACTCAAGGAAAGATTTCAAAGGGCCTTTACAGACTGCCAGAAATAATGCAGCTTGAGGCCACTTTAACTGTCCTGGCTCAGTGCTAAGGAATCATGGGAATTGTATTTCTTTTCTGGGACATTGAGCCTTCTCTGTCAGAGAGCTCTTTGCCACAATATACTACAGTTCCCATGATTCCTTAGCACTGAGCCAGGACAGTTAAAGTGGCCTCAAGCTGCATGGTTTCTGGCAGTCTGTACAGACCCAAAGTTTCTGCAGGCTCAAGCCATTTTTACCCAAACACTAATCATTGGCTACTGTCACACTGCAGAATTAATGCAATTTGACACCACTTTAATTGTCATGGCTCTATCCTATGGAATCCTGGGATTTGTAGTTTACTCTCTGACAATTATTTCACAACACTACAAATCTCAGAATTCCATAGCAGTGAACCATGGCAGTGGTCATGCTGGCTACTGCATTTAAGAAATTGTAGTCCAAACAAGTAATTTTACACACACACACAAAAGGAACCTATGCTCTGGTTGGCACATTAGTTGCAGGATTGTTCTAGAGAAGAAGCAATTTCCCCAAAAGTCTCTGAGGTCGCTAAAATGAGTACCCAGGTTGTTGGGGGGCAATCAGCTCACAGTTGTAAACCGCTTAGACATCCCATAGCGTGATATGAAGCGGTATATAAATAAGCTGCTTTGCTTTGCTTTGCTTTGAATAAACAGAAAATTAAGGCCTAAGCAGACTGCCAGAAATAGTGCACATTAAATTGAGGCACTGCGCTGGCTCAGTGCTAGGGAATCATGGGAATTATATTTTTTTCTGAGACATTGAGCCTTCTCTGTCAGAGAGCTCTGGTGCCACAATAAATTACAGTTCCCATGATTCCCTAGCACTGAGCCAGGGCAGTGCCTCAATTTAATGTGCACTATTTCTGGCAGTCTGCTTAGGCCCTTAGATTCCTCCATGATGGTGTAGTGCAGGGGTAGGCAACCTAAGGCCTGGGGGCTGGATGCGG